TGAGACAGAGATTTTTGCTATAGGGCATGCACTCGCTGGAGAGACAGAGACACACACACACAGAGAGAGAGAGAGAGATGGACTCAATGCCACAATCCTCCAAATTCCAGTAGTTTTTGCCATATGGTGCATGCCACCAAGCCAGAAGCTGGAGAGACAAAGAGACAGAGAGAAAGTGAGAAGTCACCCCCCAGGGAAGATGGTCATGCCACAATCCCTTCTTCATTCTCCTCTTGGGATTTTGAGCAAGCACACACACATGCCCAGTGTGTGTTTTGAACCTCTGGGTCTGAGACTCAAACTGTCAGCCATGTGGGAGACCAGCACTGTAACCATTACACCATCTGCTGGTCCCACAAAGTAAATTGTTATAGAGACCAGCATGCAGTAAGGCCCGCTATGCAAATTTCTCACACTGCTTCCGGAATGGGAAGGAACACGTGATGGAGAAAGCACAGAGGCAGCTGTCTTTGTAACGCAAGATGGATTTCAGGAGGTGAGTCCGAAATTAGGTGGGCATAAAGAGTTAACTGCTTAGTATGCTGCAGCCATCACAAGCAATGGGCCCATGAGCAAATCGGCATCTCAGGTTGTTCATATTCCATTTAACAACTTCTTGTAAGTTCTCTTGAGCTATTTTGTGGTTGTTCCATATTTAGAATATTTGCTTCCACAAAAAACTTTTGAGATCTATAATACTGCTACATCATTCCCCATACTTTTCTAAAATGCCCAGATGGTCTGGACCAGTGTTAGGAACGTAGTAGATGTTCATTAACACAGATAAATTGAATTGTGTCATTACTTGTGATTGTCAAAGTTAAAATCCTTTGTGTGATACAAACACTCTTATTTTTTAAGTTAATTACATTAAAAATGGCAGATGATATTGTATCTTGACCTAGTTTTTCATGGAATGAAGTATGGTTACTAATCAGTATCAAAAAGGAAAAGACTTTGGGGACTAGATGGTGGCTCAATGGTAATGCTATGCTCTGTGAGATGGGCCCTTGTGGGAAGGCTCCAGAGTCCCATCAGGGGACCCCCTTAAACACACTGGATCCCCACATGCCCATGATCCTAGGCTGGCTGAGACGGGGGTAGATAATGATATGAAGGCTGTTGGGGAATGACAGTCTTTCTGTGTCTCTCTGTACTCATAGAAATAAATATAACTTTTTTTTTCTAGAGGTTATGAGAAAGAAGCCAGAGGAAGACAGAGAGAAAGATAGGTGGAGAGAGAGAGAAGAAAGAACCCCTCCCCCCCCCATAAGGAATGGTCATTCTGCAATCCCTCCTCCTCCAGCTCTCTCACCTTTTGGAATTTTGGGCATGCACACACATGTCCAGTATGTTTTATAAGCTGTTGGGTCTACTCAGAATGCATGGGTGGGCCATGTGGGATCTGTCTGCCTTAACCACCAGACCCATACCTGAACTCATTTTTTTAAAAAGGAAAATACTTTATTGTCTCTTGGTTTAAACATGTTGGCAATAAAAAAGTAAATTAAAAAGAAAATAAAAGCCTGAAATTGCTTTTTTAAGTTGGATGCTTAGAAACAATGGTATTGATAGAAGAAAATGATGCTTATTCTTAGAAAGCAAGGCTGACTAACCAGGATAACCAGGATTTTTATCAGAAAGGCAATGTAATCATGACCAGTCAGCCCTGAAAAGTACACTAACACAATTCCAGGATAATATTAGGATTAAGAAGTAAAGAATTCGACTAATCCATAGAAATCAAATCTTTTGAAAATGAGCAGGCTTTTAAAGTTTAAGTTCCAATTTTAGAAAATGGAGCAAGAATTTTCTTCATGGAATGTTTGAGTTTAAACTGTGAGTCTATAGACCACATGGCATATACCATTGGGGAAAAACATAAATATATTGGCCAAATTTAATCATACTAAAATGTATTCATTAAAAGTATCACATATTCATAGAAGTTATAGAGCCTATATATAGAAGATCTATAAAGGGTAAATCAATGAAGAAACTGATGACTCTGATGTTATATTAATATAGACCTGATGAAGTGGAAACTGGCATTATCTGATTTATACCCATAAAACAACAAAATATTACTTCGGACACAAATGGGATAGGCAGGCCAACTTCATGGGTGTGGAACCCATGAAGTTGCACATGACTTTATGCTTAGAAGGCCCCTACATGAGGAGTCACTTCATACTCTGTTGTAGCAACCTTGCAATTCCTAGTAATTTTTTTTTTTTAGTCTTTTTTTTTTTTTAGACGTTTTTGCTATAGGGCGCATGTGCCCGCCAGACAGAAAGAGAGAGACAGAGAGATAGAAAGCGAGAAATCACCCCCTAGGGGAGATGGCCACGCCGCAATCCCTTCTCCTCTCGGGATCTTGGGCACGCACGCACGCACACATGCTCGGCATGAGTTTAAGCTACCGTGTCTGGGACACGAACTATGTGAGAGTGGACTATGTGGGAGTCCAGCTACATAGCCATTATGCTAACTGCTGGTCCCCAATTCCTAGTAATTTTTAACAAGATCCCTTGCACTTTCATTTTCCATTGTGCCCTGCAAATTACTTAGCTGGTCCTGCCTAGAGCCTACATTTCCCAATAATTGTCTGTTTTTATCCATTTTTTAAAAATGTGTTTATGGGACAAGCAGTTAGCATAATGGCTATGTCACTGGACTCCCATTAGTCGATAGTGGTTCGAGTCCCAGACCAGTGGCTTAAAACTCATGCCAGGCACGTGTGCGTGCATGCCCAAGATCCCGAGAGGAGAATAGAAGAGAAGAGATTGTGGTGTGGTCATCCCTCCTGGGGGGTGATTTCTTGCTTTCTGTCTCTCTGTCTCTCTCTGTCTTTCTAGTGAGCATATGAGCCCTATAGCAGCAAAAAAATAAAATAAAATAAAATAAATAGTTTATTTCCTTCATAAGAGAGAGAGAGGGAGGAGGAAGGAGGGAGGGAGGGAGGGAGGAACAGAGAGAGAGAGAGATGCTCTCAGTAGGGTCTTCTTGCTGCAATCCTTCCTCCAGCCCTGTATCCAGCTGGAACAAACAAGTATACCCACAGGTGTGCTTCGCATGTTCAGGGAGACCCGGGATGAAAACCCAGAGCCTTCCCCATGGCCTGCAGCATTGCACAGCAGCACCCTTACTGCCTGTGCCACCGTGTCTGGGCCTACTATGCTTTTGAAGTTGCTAGCTGAGGCTTCATTTCATTGCTTTGAGGCAGATATTAGTGCAACTTGTATAGCTTTGCCTTTTCCCCTCCTCCCAACTAATACTTTGTCCTAATTTGTCATCATCTTGTCGTTGCAGCTTTGGCTAAGTGGAAGAAAGAATGGAAGTTCTGCAAAGAACAGAGAACATCAACCAGAACTGCTCTCTCTTTAAGATGCTGATTTTAATCATCTAAGATGGAACCTAGTAAAGAGTATTTTTGCAACTTTACCAATATAATATCTCTAATCTGTATTTAAACTTCTCCCAAAAGTACATAAAATGATTTTGAATCACACATAGTTTTATGTAATACAGAAATTTTTAAAATGTGAGTAAATTCAATTTGATGTCTTAAAAAAAGGCAGCTTGTTATATATCGCCATTCATTGAATTTAGATTTTACAATGTTTTAAACAAAATAAAGCTGGCAAACCGCTCCTCAATAATCAACCTTTTCAATTAAATTAGAAATTTGTAAGAAAAATGAAAATATTATAAGGTATTGAAACATGTCTCAAATATGTGTCAAATGTACAACTTTGCAACTCATTTATAAATGTAGAAATCATTTCATGATATTTTGGTTATAGAATAGTCAGATGCTTTCCTTTGTAAACAAGTAGCTTTTTTTTTTTTTTTTTTTTTTTATTTTTTTAGAGGAAAATTTTTGCCATTGGGGGTGGGTGTTTT